ATATTCGAGTCCAATGGTATGTGTGCGCAAGCGTGATGGTACCCTTCGCCTGTGTATCGACTATCGGAAGGTAAATAACAAGACAGTGAAACAGGCAGAACCAATTCCAAGAATACAAGATACGTTAAACCAGCTGGCAGGAAGTCGATGGTTTACAGTTCTGGACCAAGGAAAAGCCTATCACCAAGGAAACATGTCTGAATCGAGCAAGCCAGTGACAGCGTTTGTGACTCCATGGGGATTATATGAATGGAATCGCATACCGTTCGGTCTTACTGGGGCCCCTGGAACTTTCCAGAAATACATGAATGAGATCCTTCATGACTATCGTGATAGATTCTGTATTCCATATCTAGATGACATCATTATCTACAGCCAGACCTTTGAACAGCATTTGGAACATCTCAGAGCAATTTTAAGGAGACTAAAGGATAAGGGTATTAAGTTGAAACCAAAGAAGTGCGAGTTATTTCGTAAGTCTGTCAGATACCTTGGGTGCTTGGTTACAGAGGAAGGTTACATGATGGATCCTAAGGATAAGGACGCTGTACTGAAGCTGAAAGACAAAAGTCCAAAGACTATTGGTGAATTACGGCAACTACTTGGCTTCATTGGATACTACCGGAAGTACATACCTAACTTCTCGCGTCGTGCCAAAACACTATACGACCTACTACAATGTTCAGGGTCTAAACAATCAAGTGGAAAACAGAAGAAATCACCCCAGAAGAGTGGACAGGCACCATCAAGTCAACATATTACTTGGACTGGACAACACCAATCTACATTAGATAGTCTCATCGAGACTCTGCTGGAACCGAGAGTCATGGCATATCCGAACTTCGCGGAACCCTTCACCCTGCATGTTGATGCATCAGGAGAAGGCCTTGGAGCAATTCTGTACCAGAAACAAGAGAATGGAAGACTAGCTCCTATCGCCTATGCATCGAGAACATTGACCCCAGCTGAGAAGAACTACCATTCTAGTAAGCTTGAATTCTTAGCCATGAAGTGGGCAGTATCAGAGCGGTTCCGTGACTACCTGTTTTATGCACCTTTCTTCACTGTGTATAGTGACAATAATCCGTTACAGTACGTCATGACCACAGCAAAGCTCGACGCTACTCGTCTGCGATGGGTATCAGAACTCGCTGAATTCAAGTTTGAGATTCGCTATAAGCCTGGCCAGAATAACAAGGATGCAGATGGTCTTAGCCGAATGCCTTTAGTTGAGGACCATATCATGGACTATACAGAGGAACTGTCTCCTGGGACAATCCACTCCATTGTGAATTGTGCTACGTTCAAGGGCAATGGGGACTGGCCATTAGTTGCATCACTCTCTTGTACAGCAGATGTGTTCCAGCTGATAAAGTCAGGTGAAGACGATGTTAAGTCGATACCACTTGATGAACTGGTAAAAGCACAGAGGACAGATACAGATATCAGCCCAGTGATAGACCTGATAAAGGATAAGACAAGTATCTCAGGGAAAGTGATTTCTAGTCTTCCAGAAAGGTCAAAGAAACTACTACGTGAAAAAAACAAACTGCAGATAGACTCAACTGGTATCCTAAAGAGAGTGGTTCGAGGACCAGATAAGGAGCAAAGATTCCAGATTGTACTTCCAGAACAGTACCATGGAATGGTGTTAGAGGAGTTACACTCTAAGATGGGACATTTAGGTACTGACAGAGTAACTGCATTAATCCGTGAACGTTTCTTCTGGCCCGGTATGGCAGCTGAAATTGAACATTTCATTACCAGAGTGTGCTCTTGTATCAAGGATAAACCACCTACTCGTCGGAAGTTAGCGCCAATGCAGCCCATTACAACAACCTTTCCATTTGAACTTGTCTCTATAGACTTTCTACATTTGGAGAAAAGCAAAGGGGGTTATGAGTATATACTGGTGGTGATGGACCACTTTACCAGGTTTGCACAGGCATATCCAACTCGTAACAAATCTGGGAAAACAGCTGCAGACAAAATATTTCAGGATTTTATCATGAGGTTTGGATTCCCTCATAAACTTCATCATGATCAGGGCCGAGAATTTGAAAATGAACTTTTCCATGCTCTTCAGAAATTATGTGGCATGCGACGATCCAGGACTACCCCCTACCACCCTCAGGGGAATGGCCAGGTGGAACGCTTAAATCGCACCCTCCTCGGGATGTTGCGTACGTTACCTGCTGATGCAAAAGCCGATTAGAAGTCACATTTGAACAAAATAGTCCATGCATATAATTGCACACAGAATGATGTGACAGGATTCTCGCCTTTCTACCTGCTATTCGGACGACAGCCTAGACTAGCTATTGATGTCATTTTTCAGGAAGCACATGGGGACCAAAGCCTGAAGACTAAGTCACATACAGAGTATGTCAACAATTGGATTTCAGAAATGGAGAAAACATACAACGTTGTGTGTCAGAGGGCTGGGAATGCCGGACAAAAGGGGAAACAGCAGTATGATAAGAGAGCTACCAGTGCAGCACTAGCTCCAGGAGACCGAGTCCTTGTCAGAAACTTCAAAGAGAGGGGAGGCCCAGGGAAGTTGAGATCGTACTGGGAGGACACAGTGCACGTAGTTATTGGTCGGATGAATAGCACATCCCCTGTTTATGAAATCCAATCTGAAGACGGAAAGGGACCTATTCGTCGCCTTCACAGAAACCTTCTTCTTCAGTGTAATGATTTACTTTCAACAATGAGTGCTAAGAGGATCACCGAGTCCAAGCAGAAGCAAGAGAAGAACAGAAAGTCTAAGAAATCATCACAAAACATTGCACGGTCAAGAACAACACAGTCACAAGACCACAAGGATCCTGTGTCAGATTCCAGTATCAATAGTGACTACATCGTCATCAATAGTGAATTGAATCCGCATGCTCAGACATTTATTCCAAGTTCACCTGGTGATGCACCACCTACATCTGGAGGGTCAACGAATGATGAAGACACTGAACCAATTATTATGGATGTGACTGACCCAGGACATGTTACCATACAGGACTCTGAAGGGTCAAGTAGATCAAGATCATCATCCGAATTCATCAGTGCTGAGTCAAATGATGACGAGGACTCTCAGAATTCACCGGAAGATGTAGGGAGAACTGAAGAGGCTAACAGTGACAACAGCAGTGACAGTAATGGTAGACGCAGAGGTAGGGGACAGCGAGTGTCAAGGCCGCCTTCACGGTTGACTTACGATCAGATGGGAAAAACCTGCTCCTATCCCTGGACCAATGTTATCTTATGCGGACAGGAAATAATGGTCTAGAGTGATGTGTATACGAGATATTAACATTGAATTAAAACTGTATATGTAGGGTTACTATGGTGTGCCATTAGGGTCATTATACCTTCAGTTTATACATGAACTTGTATTTTGTATTATGGTCAGAAAGAATGATTTTTTTCATGGGTTGAGATATTTTTCAGAATTGTTTTATTCTGTATTCATGTCAGGTGGCCAACTGATATGTACATATTTTAATGAAAATATTAGTGTTCAACTAATGGTTATCAACTGCAATTTCTGATTTTGATGCTAATACAAGTGGAACCATGTCGATGAATGATTATGATATGTCAGCTTTAGATCATAATTGCAGTGTAAATGTATTTGTAGTACATGTATTGTATTAAGTATATGTTGGAATATATGGTTCAAGTTTCCTGATGATGATCAGATGTTTGATTTAAGATTAAGAGTAAGGATTTTTGAGAAATGTACTTATAAATGATCTGTAATCAAATTTTTTTTCATTAATTGTAATTTTTTGGTATTTGTCAAATGTCGAGACGACATTTAATTTGTAGGGGGAGAGTGTGATACTGTAGAAAATAAGGGGGTACAATTATTTTTAATGTATACCACTTTAACAATATAGCACGGTTGGATGGTTGTCGACGATTCCTGGTACGACTTGATTTTTGTATTCAAGAGTCGGAGCCAATAAACGTCGTTTGTATTTATACTGTCTCCTCCTCCTTTTTCAGGTAATTATCAGATTATTTTATATTAGATGTGATTGATATTGCACAAAATGATATTTTAGATACTTCGCTAATTGTGTACATGTTTATTTTTGATGCATTTGAGGTTTATCTTGCATATTTAGTTTCCGAAGCGATCAGTGCAAAACCATGTGTTTTAGGTCACGTGATAAGAGTTTTACAGTGTATAGCTAAAATGCATACATTTATGTCAGTTCATGTTTAGTTTTATGATTTGGGGAAGTCATATAAGTAATATTATTAATAGCATAATATTAAGTTGAGTTAGGTTGTAGTTGATGTAAAAGTGAAATGTCAAGATTCCCGCACTTTCTACATCCGGGTATTTCCAAGATGGCTGCGCCCATACGCATGTTATTCTTTACATCACCATCAATATAATTATAGCCATGTATAAGTCAAGTTGATGTTGTAGGATATCTTAGTGTAATATTTCAGAGTTATGTTTATCAGTGCATCAGATCACAGTGATTATTAATAGTAATTCAATCTGTATTAAGTTTAGGGTAGCTACTCTGTGGTTGTGATACTTTGTGTCATAAGATGTCAGTATTATTTTGTCAGTCATATGGTGTCAGTCAAGTTCATTAGTTCATTAGTCAAAGTCTCAGGATTACCAAAGATTAAGTCACATGTCTAGTCAATATTTTGTTTACATTGAAATTACAAGTTAACTGTTTACTTTCCACATACATTTGTACATGTATCTGTATTGTTATTTGATTATTACATGTATCAGTCTCTAGTCATATATGAAATTAATGTGTTCAAGAATGTTCATAATAATTTTTGTATTCAAGATATATGAGCCAATAAACGTCGTTTGTATTTATACTGTCTCCTCCTCCTTTTTCAGAACTCACTCCATTTTGAAACCGGTTACATTCATTCATCGCCATTTTTTGTTGATTTCAGCAAAGAGATTTAATATCAAATAAAAGATTTATAATTCCTTAAAGAAATATCAGCTTAAATTGATCGTTGGGCATAAAACGGAAAGAGAAAAGGGGAGATGGGGAGAGGAAAATAAAAAGAGGGGGAGAGAGTGGCGGAGAGAGGGGAATGAGAGAAAGATAAAGAAAAAAGAGAAGAGAGAAATTAGGAGAGAGAAAGTGGGAACGGAGGGAGGTGGAGAGAGAAAGAAGGAGAGAGGAATCTTATTGTTCACTCTCCACGTACAGTACAAGAAATAAAAGCTAATATTGATCGTTGAGAGAGAGAGAGAGAGAAAGAGAGAGATCTTACTGTCCACCCTCCACCTTCTATCACAGGGAAAGGGGCAGAGAAACTGATAAAGAGAGAGTAAAACGGAGAGAGAGAGAGAGAAGGATAAAATATCTTACTGTCCACCCTCCACCTTCTGTCACCATGTCACAGAAGACGCTGACCTTGCTGTTATTACCAAATGGATAGATCGCATACACACCAGATACTGTATTTATATTATTATAGAGGTCCTTGCAATCTTTATATTTGTGTAACTCTGAAAGAGAAAAGAATAAATACATGATATGATAATAATCGTTATATAAAATTTACTCTGAGAGAGAGAGAGAGAGAGAGAGAGAGAGAGAGAGAGAAAACGAGAGATAGAGATAGAGATAAATACCTGACTTGATGGTTTGCAGTATACTGCTCTTCAAACCTTCGTGGATGTTGGTTACATTTTTCATCAGGATATTAAACATCTCGTAAAATTCTCCTTGAATGTTTGTTTGATTAACTTTAATTCTCGCATTCTCTGGTTTTAAGGACTCGATTTGTCTCGCATTTTCTCTTCTTAAAGACTCCATTTGTCTCGCGATCTCCTGTTTTAATGATTCAATCTGTCTGGCGGTTTCTCGTTTTAAGGAATCTGCCTGTCTCGCGTTCTCCTGTTTTAGGTACTCAATCTTTTCATTCAATATTTTAATCGTCTGATCATTACGGTCGCAGTCATGTTTTTCATTGAGATGAATTTGCTGAGAACTAGCCGCACAAACGAACAAGACGTACACGAAGATAGCCGCCAAAAATCCTGCCATGATTTTTCTTGCGCGCTGTCTGAAAATAAGCTTCCCTAAAATAATCCATAGTTTATATACCCTTAAAACGGGAAATTAAAAATTTCCCTAAAATATGACTATACCCCAACACTTAGTCGTTCAGCAGGGAATTTCATTCGACACTCAAGAAAAAATAAAATATTCAGGATGCATGGGTCATAGGTCGAATACAAAGTAATGCTGGTAGTGGATGGCATTATAAAACACTATTTTGTATACTGTAGACGTGCTTTTTTCCACGGGGTCATAATTCCGCGGAATCTCAATTTCTGTTTAATCCGCGGGTAGAAAATTACGCGGATTTCTTAGCCTGTCACTTAATGCCTTACATTAACATTAAGTACGCTTGGACAAATTTCCGCGGAAATTTGTGACCGCGTACATAGCGTAAATTAATACCACGCGGAAAAAAATACTTCTACAGTATACCAATTTTAAAAAATAAAAATGGACATATTGCTTTTAATACTATATTTTTATTTGATAAATATAAATACTTATTGAGTCTTTTGTGTTTCTTTATATTCACTTTTTTAATCGTTTGAAGTTACAATTACCACACATGTGGAATCTTTAATACTTTTTAAAGATTGGTTGTAATTCTAAAGAATAATTTAAAGGTTTATTTTCAATTCTCAAAAGCAATTCGAATATGAGTTTATTCAAAAGGTACCAATGCCACAGTTTTATAGAATGGCCTCATATAAAGAATGAAATGTATGGAGATAAAGAACAATATTCCAGCTCAAAAGACCATTAAACATTATAAAAAAGGATCAGGGCAAACAGGCCTCCAAAGCATCAGAGTGGAACCAGGTGCCATGGAGGAGTGAGCACCCCCTGATGACCGGTCACACCCGCCGCGTGTTTCTTGACAATCGATAATCTTGTAATAAGTATCTTGTCTGTTCAGCCACAAAACCACTCTCTATTTCCTTATCTTTTTTTTTAAAAATGCAATTTATTTGAGCTGATCTTACTAGAACTGACCATGACGAAATCATTGTTTACACAATATTTAAAGACAAGCATTTTATATACTTGTAGCAGAGGAAAATGTATATATTATTTAACAAACCCCGTCCTTTTTAGGAACAAATTTATCTTTTATGCGCTTAAATTACTTTTCATGAGGTATTGTATCCTAATAAACAGTCTCATTTTTTTCGATTGTTTTTGGAACTGTAAATTCCCCAAATTGATTTGAATTGCTTTATGACATCAGAAGATGTATAAATGTGTCTTTTATGCATGTTTTACATTTTGGCAATTGAAATTTTGATTCTTTTTGTTTATAAATACATGTACTTGCATGATATTCGAATTGGTATTCGCCATGTTTAGTTTTGAAGTGGTTGGATGCATGCTTACATAATTTTTTTCAAAAATACGTATTTTTATTCTATTTTTTAAAGGCATATTCTATATTTTTGGCAGAGCATATTATATTGTTGTACTGTGTTTGATTACACTATCGAAGTTTTGATTTAAATGAAAGCATAGTAATGCAAAGGTAACTGTTTTTCTTATTAAACCAATAGAAAGTGGAGAAAAGAAACATTACATTTATATTAAATTAAAAAGTCTAAGCATTTAGTCCCGGAAAAAAAAATCATTTCTTGAATTTCTTATAATTCCTTACGTTATGATTGTACTTTAATTTGTAATTATTATGAATAAGAAGGATTAAGTAAATAAATATCTTATTGATATTGCTTTAAGGAATAAGGAAGAAATTCCAAAACGGAATACAACTTCATAAATAGAAAAGAAAACTACATCTTAATCGATTGGTTACTACAAAACAGGAGTTAAAGATGCACAGGAAAAAACACTTAAGATAAATTTTGAAAATTAAAGATATATATTAAAACGGAAGAAAAAAATTGCAAAAATAAAAAAGAAATCAGCGAGATCTGCAAAATCGTTCGTCAGGCCTATCGTAGAAAAGCACAAAGATTGATAAACATTAAAACAGTGGGTTGTAAACTGAGATAGGATAAAATTGAGGTCACATCTAAAAAGAGAACCCGGATGAATGAAAATGTAAACAGTAGTTTCTGTACTGAGAGGAAAAAAATCAATGCCATCGGGATTGGCATATTCTAAACGTTTACTATTGATAATAACTAAATTTAATGTAATTTTTGATAATTTTTTAGCAACTTTAGGCATTTATTTCTTTTGAATTTTAAAGGTCTTTTTTTTTTTAAATTATATTAGCTTGCATTTTTGAAACATCTAAAATTTACCCATAATTTTGATAGTTCAGATAAAATTATTACCATGTCACCGGAAAACGGAATCTAAAACTCCCCTTCAGGTCTATTTCTGAAGACCCCTTTACCACTCATGTCATAATAAATGATAATTTACTATACAAATGAAAAAAGTGAAAATTGTCCGTGATATTTCTGCTAGTAACATATACAATTGATAAGCAATAAATAAGTACTATTTAAATTAATCTTTTATTAATTAAGGAGAATCGGCATAGATATGTAATACTGAATTAAGGATATCCGATATCTAGATATTATTCTAAATTATGGATAATTGGTATAGAGATTTAACTCTGACATAAAGATACTCGGGCTAGATATGTGGCTCTCAGTTATGGAAACTCGGTGTAGATGTGAGATTCTGAATTAAGGAGACTGGGTATAGATATGTAATTCTAAGTTAAGAGAACTCGGTGTAGATATATGGGATGGTTTTAAACAATATTATTAGGTTTCATCAATAAAAATTAAATCATCCTGACTTGATATACAATAGATATATAAATAGAACCATTTATTCTAACAAAAACTTCATTTTCCAATAATTTTTTTGACAACCTTCGTACATGTCAGATATATTTCGTATTTAAATTTTATTGAATTCTATGGCATTCAAACCATCTTAACACGGAAAGGTGTTTAAAGGGTAAAACTCTTTTTCTCCCTCTCTCACACAATCCCCCTCCTCTTTCTTTCTCTATTCCTCTCTCTTTCATCTCTATCTCTTTAATGTGGCGTCGGCTGTCCAGTGGTTAAGGTGCCAGACTCCAAACCGAAAGGTTGTCAGCTTGAATCCTGGCCACGACAAGCCGACGTTGTGCCCTTGGGTAAGACAATTTATACAAATTTCCTCACTCCACCCAAGTGTAAAAGGGGTACCTGGCCATAGACATTGAAAGATATTTTCAGAATGTTAATGTTCTAGCGTGATAACGGCAGCCTGCACTGAGAAAGACTCTGGATTGTTAAGGTATGCTGGGTAATAATGTATTGTAAAACGTTTTGAGTAGCATTTATGCTAGAAAAGCGCTATATAAAAACAATCATTATTATTATTCTCTCACTCTCCAAGACGTCTGTTTTTGTTCGTTTCTTTAGCAACAGACAACTTTTAGTTATGTATAATTCATTCCTTCATTAAGCATATCATTGATCTTTTGATAAAAAAGTAAATATTAAAATTATCTTAAATTTTTAGTTATGATATGCTATTCAACAAACAGGAGTTTACAAAAATAAAAAAATAAAAATGATGAAATATATGTGTATATAAAAATATTCTGTTTTTGGTGTAACAAAGTAGACTATTTAAAATATATCATAAAATTATGTTGTACGAAAGTTGGAATTCTCAAAATTAGAGTAACATAGCTTCCTGGTTCCAAATGATGAATGTTTCATAGACGTCGTTATTATGAGACAGAAAAAAGAAGATAAACAACAAAATAAAAATTAGGAGAATAATGTGTTTTTAGTATTAAATATTTCATTTTATGCATTTAGTCCAGCTAAAGAATTCATCTCTTAAATTTATTTTTGTTTGTTACGTTATTACTGTACTTTAATAATTTGTAATTTTTATAAATAAATACCAATAAGTAAATTGATATTAAATGGATATTGTTTTTAAAGAACAAGGAAGAATCTCAAAACCGGAAAAAACAACTTCATAAATAGGGAAAAAACTACATCTTAAAGGATTTGCTACTTCAAAATAGGGTTAAAGATGTACAGGAAAAAGTACGATAATTGAAATTAAACGCAAGAGAAAATTGATGAATACAAAAAAACCCCGACTTTTCTTTCATTTTCTAGATCAGTTTTATCGTAGACGAAAAAGAAAGATATATAAAAATGAAATCAGTCGATTGTAGATTGAGATAAGGAAAGAAGAATTTAACTGTTATCGAGATTGACAATATATTGAAAGTTTACTGTCGATTATTCCTAATTCTAACACATTTTTTTTTTATTATTTTCATAAAAACATCATGCATCATTTGTTCATTTTATTATTATCATTATATTACATTAGCTTCCATTTTTGTGAAGGCCTAACATTTGCTTTTCACATAAAATGATGCACATGTCCACCGAATACAAACGTTTACCCAAACTATATAAAAATGAAGAGATATATGTGTGTATAAAAATTTGTCATTGGTGTAACAAAACAAAGTAGTATAAAATACATACAAATGTAATTTAAATGATGTATTGAAGTTGGATTTCCCAAGATTAAAGTGACAGCTATTCCAGCTTTCAAATGATGACCGCATCAGTGACGTCCTTTTAGTGAGAAAAAATATCACAAAAATGGTTAGCATGCTCAGAGTAATTCAAATAATAAATGCATCGATCGGGTAACATACTACTTAAGATTTTCTATTACGAAAGAAAAGGAAAAAAAAATAAAAAAAATTATCAAAATGATTATCACATTTTACATTGGCTATGTGAAATTGTGTACATTCCGACCTCTTTGGTCAAACTGCTAAATTTATTCCAGATACATCAGTGATGTAACCGTCAGAGGTGTCAATTTTAACTTTATTGCTTTTTTTATAATGGTAATACAGGTTTTAAGTTAAAAATTATTTCATTTTCTTGTGTCATATGGAAAAGTTATTATTTGTGTGATATCAAGTAAACTTTTTTCGTGTAAATAAGGCCCGCCCCCTCATTTCATCCTTAAAATGCTGCATTTGATTGATTGATTGGTTACTAAAAACCTACTACAGCGTGCTGTTTTGTCGTTAGTAAAGTCCCACATAACAAGTTATAAACAAGTCACTGATCGCAATACACTTGTCAATATGACGTCATTTCTTACGACATGACTTAGTTTGTATGCAGTGAGAGACAGATCAATTAATATTTTCTCAACAAAATATGTATTCTATAATTAAGTAAAATATTATTTACAGATATTCTATGGGCCAATAACTTGAATTTCATGTCTTCTTTACTCTTTTAGTAATATATTTTCTGTACATTAGGGTAATGTTTAGCTTCTTAATAAATCGATCTAGTGCAAGGGCATACACTCTATTGATCAAAGTAAGCTTTTACATTTCAACTATAGAACTATTAAGGTATCTGAAAAGTGCTGCAATCCTGATAAAATCTTAAAAACAATTTAATTATATCAATATTTAATGCCGCTTATCAGCAAAAAATATAGCATTCGGTCATGCAAGTATAATTTTAACAATCAAATTGCAGAATTTAGACAGGATCGCAGCACTTTTTAGAAACTACAATGCGTGTTGAAAATATTTATATGCTAAACTTGGAAATTTAACTTGGTTATGCCCTTGCACTAGTGATATTTATATGTAACATCAATACTTCAAGTCAATGTGCCAAAATCGCGTGACTGCCGCATTAAGTGACTAGTCTTAGTATAAAATATAATCGTCCTCGATGTGTAGTTATTAATCATGATTACAATTATCCGATAAAAATAATGTACAAAAAATAATCGCCATCCCGACTACGAATACATTTTTAAATACAAAATTTAGTCGATATTTCCATTGCGCACCTTAACTGTACTGCGAAGGTCAAATAGCTATCTTTAATAGTTCATGCATAGCAAAGCTATTCCCCGGCGTATAGTTTTTGTTATTCACCCACGGAAAATTTTCATGCAATTTTTGCCTCCAATTTTGAATTTCAGCGATAAATCTATTGACTGATGATGTCATTGTGACTTCAGTGGCATTGTGACGTCATTATGATTCACAAGACGAAAGACCACCTTAAAGCAATCGCTTGATAGTAGCTTAATGGTGACTTAATGGTGGCTTAAAGAAGTTAATTCCTTTAAGCCACAATTAAGCCACCATTAAGCTGCAACTTACAGGTGCTTAATGTCCAAACTTCATTAAGCTACCATTAAGCCACCTTTAAGCTGAGCTTAATGGTGACTTAATGGCAAACCTCATTATATTTTTACGCATCTTATATAGAATCTTTTAACTAATTTTAAAGTTATTCTAATATCATTTACACAAAATCTATTCCAACTCATAATTTCGTCTCGATTGTAATTTCTACGAGTTTTTTGTCAACATGCATAAACTCGATCACAGAAAACAAAGTTAGCTAATAGTCACAGGGGCTAGCTCCCGGTGTCTAATAATTATTTTTTTTTAAATCATTTGCAGTAATAATAAAATAAGACATCCTTTATCAGTACCCTATATTATTTTTTTTATATAACTATTACATGCAGAGTTTTTATTATTAGTGTATATGGTTTTTTTAAAATAAATAATTGTTAAACGCCGGGAGCAAGCCCCTGTGAAACATCTTAAATCATCCGAAAATCAATTTGTTCTTAAAATTATCTTTATCCATGAACACAAAAAATATATATTAATCTTTTTAAAAGAAAAAGATGGTATTTCATATGTTAAAAGCAACATTCCGCTACAGAATTCACAGGAATATAACTTTAAATCATATGTTCTCATTAAAAAAGAAATCTCTTTTTTTGCGGGTGGGGGGGGGGGGGGGCTACTGGTATACAAATGTTATGTGTTCAATGATTGACTTTTACACCTTGAATAATTTGAACTAATTCGTTATTTCTTTTTAAATGCAGCGTTAAGTGTCTGTCAAAATCTAGTCGGTCTTCAATCATTGTTATTTCAAAATCAATTTTCAGAAGAACAGTCGATCAAACTAAACATGTCATCCGACCAGATTTATACACATTGAGAAACGAGGTAAGGTTAACAGAGTAACAGTTAATATCCGCAGTATATTTAAAAAAAGTAGAATCTGTTTTTTCGTCTTTCTTTTTCGATGATAGATTGTTGTGTTTTATCTATAATTAATTTATTTTCACTCATGATTTAATGCTTACATGTATAAATTTTCGAATAACAGAGAGAAGAACTGAATCACATTACATCAGTCTAAAATCCGAACTCAATGGTTTAGAAATATTACTGCGAAATAAGCCTTTTAAAAAGATCCGTAAATAAAATTGTTTATATTTTGATTAAAAATCAATTCAAGACTTTGGATACGTTCATAAAAAAAGTACTTTTAGAAGTACAAATTTTTTTTTATAAAAATGAAGGTTAAATATTTTCCTTGAGAAAACAAAGAGCAGTGATAGCCTAATGAATAAGGCGACCACCACTACTCCTAAGGTCATAGGTTCGCGCGCCGTCTGTGGCGATTTTTTTTTTCAATTTTGAATTTCTTTCTTTTTCATTATTTTTACCAAATCGAGATATATGCCAACTCTACATATATAATATTGATAACAAATCACTATGAAAATAATTTTTCGTGCATATAAACAGTATTATCGACTGCGTAATGGTGGCTTAATGGTGGCTTAATGGTAGCTGAATGAAGTTTGAACATTAAGCACCTATGAATTTGGCTTAATGGTAGCTTAATGGTGACTTAATGGTGGTCTAAAAGCTACCATTAAGTACCTTAAGGCCACCATTAAGCTACCATTAAGTTGCATTTTAGCACCCATTAGGGACTTTGAGATGGCTTAATGGTAACTTAATGGTGGTGTAAATGTTACTAAAAGGTGCTTAATGGACACTAAGGCTTTAAACCATCATTAAGGACCTATAAGCCGCTATTAAACTGGACTTGAAGGGTGTGTTTCATCTTGTGATTTCAGATTATTCTTGCAATATTATCTTACTCCAAAAAGAATTCAAACCTAAGAAATTATATTATATATCAGTATAATAAAACGCTTATCAACTGCTTGTGAGTGGGAGAGCTCTTTTATCAAACTCTTGACAGGGACTATTCCCCTCGGGCAAGCCCTCGGGGAATAGTTCCCTGTCGCGGGTTTGACAAAAGAGCTTTCCCATTCACAATCAGTGGATAAGCGTATACTAATCTTTTCGTGTGCAGAATTACAAACTGGAAGACAAATCAGACATTAAAAGGATGTTTCTCTAATCATTGTGATGACAACGAACAATAAATTTAATTAAAGAAGATGTGTATCATCTATACATTCAGCAATCGTCAGATAAAATGAGAAACGAACAAAACCTCTCACAATATACTGTAATTACCCATGCTATCTAATGTATCAGGTACAATTTATTAAGTTACATAAAAGCAAACTAATATTTAATCGTAATATGTCATGATATATACAATGAAACAAATAAGAGTTCCTTTCATTCAATAAAAAAGGAAACAAAGAAACACTCTATATCTAGAGACAGTAGTTTAGATTTAAATTTGATCAAACTTTGGCACAATATAAAATCATCAACAACTGTTCCTCTAGATAAGCATATAAAATTTGTGCACTAAAATAAACATCTCAGAAAGTGTTATCCCATTCATTTATAGTGCTTTTTATAACAGACCTTAAGATCATGAATTGAGAAAATACTTACTAGTCAAATATTTTACTTTGGAATGTTATGAATATCCCTTCATTGAATTTGCAAGAATGTGTTACATACAAATTTTACAAGCATGTAGAAAATTCTGCTTCATTATAATTTTTTTTTTCAAAATGTAAATTGATTTCAATTTTCGGATGAAATTTGTTCTTAGTGTGATTTTTGAGCCAGGTATGCATTGTTGACTTTTTTCACTGTTCAGGTCTTCGTAATGTACTGATCTAGTCTAGATATTCCCCATTTCCCTATGTCGTCTGTTATTTCCCATTCCTCCTCGTCCATTCTCCTTCCCTTTGTTATTTCCTCCTATGTAATACGGTCCAGGATTTTTCACCGGCCCTCTTTCTTTTTTATTCTATAATTTGAATTAATAACTTTTTGTCATTTCTTTAAAAGTATACATTTTCTTAAATAAAATGCTGCATTTTGATTTTCACTATTATAAATTTATACATGCTAGCGGTTATAGATTTGATGTAAATGTTTTATCAGTTATGTTTGGAAAGCACTTTTTTCATTTGTCACCTATGTAGTTTTTTCATAACATCTGATTTTACTCTGTATGATTTATCTGAAACCTTTTTGCTGTTGTGATCACTAATGTTTATTTTCCAACCTTTTTTCTAAATGTCTTTAGTTTTGGGTCTTCACTTGGTGTGTTTACGGAGCAAACTTTGATGAAGACGCCCATCACGATCACAATCCCGACCACAATTAGCATCACACCCCACCAGTATTCCTGTAAAATAAACAGAACCACGAACCCGACTACAATAAGCATCACACCCCAACAGTGTTCCTGTAAAAAATAGAAAGAATCATGAACCCGACTTCAATTAGCATAACAACCATCCAGTGTTCCTGTAAAATTAAACAGAATCACGATTCCGACTACAATTAACATTATACCCAACCAGTGTTCGTGTAAAAATAAAGAGAATTACGACTCCGACGCAATGATCAAAATAATAATTATATCCCTGATGGTATATATTATCACCAGAATTGAAGTTTAATTACATACAATGATCCAGTTTTTAATTGTAATGAGAGTTTCTTCTCCAAAGATCAAATTTTTCAGTCGCTCTAGAGGTCCCTCGTTATCAACACCACTACATCTGTGGAAAACGTCACCTTAGCCTTGATAGTTGCTACAGGGTGTGCCTTGAATATACAAAATACAATACAATATCCCTGCTAGTTGTAACAGGGTGTGCCTATAACATATACAATTTTCGTCAGATTAGTCTTGAGTATTGATTCATTGTTTTCTTTTAGGTTTAATGATTAGGTTAAACAATTAGTGACAATTTCATATTTATTTACAGTATTTTTGTAATTATCAAACGTGTGAATCTAGTCCTCTTGGCTTATGACTTCATATTAACGAAAGACTTTTTTCTAATACTTGACTATTATCAGGTATTGTAAATTTACAAGACTTTATACTAGATAATTGATACGATGAATGAATTCATGTCGTTAATTTGATTTTTGTTGCTTGTCAAATTTTTTTATGACGTCACAATTAAAATTCTAATACGGAGAAATTGTATTTGCTTACAAGGTCATTGTATCGACCATAAAACTTTTTTCAAGTAAAATATCCAAATATGAAACAGATCTGTCAGACTCAAGCTCACTAAGATATATCGTATCGACATAAAAAAAAATGAATATTGAATACTGACCAACTAAATAAATTCCATATTTAAACCAGTTGGATAACGTCACTTTTCTTCCATGATATATACAGTAACTATAAGATGACACTAATATTTAAAGCAGTTGAGTTATGTTACTTTCTCCTTTCATATATAATAACAATATGTGACACTTACATTTAAAGCATGTGGATTAGGTCAGTTTTATCCTTTGATATATACAATAAGATGGCATACTAACATTTAAAGCAGTTGGATTATGACACTTTTCTTGTACAATATAGTCGCCCTCGTGGCGCAGTGGTTAGAGCGTCTGCTATAGAGTCGCGAAGTAAGGAGTCAATCCTTACGTCGGGGGTTCGAATCCCACTGGGAGACTTGGAGACCGGTCCTTCGGATGAGACCGTATAAACCGAGGCCCCGTGTCGCAGTAGGTGCTGGCACGAAAAAGATCCCTAACTGCTCAAAGGTCCTGAGTGCCG